CTTCTCTCCTCGTTAAAATGTCCTCTATATATTCTCACTGTCTATGGTCTCTTTGAGCGCCTTCAAATCGGCAAAGTGCATTTTGATATTGATAAATAATATTAGTTTTGGATTTACTTGAAACATAATGAAGAGTGGTATCATCAGTCAATCTCTTGTCCACTATCAAGCCAACAAAAAGTGACCAGCACCACCGGTCTTGTCCAGTAAAAGAACCGCTCCTGGATTCAATGGTGTCTTCTTGTTTCCTCTACCACTGGCTTCTAAAAATTTGTGTCTAAATATGAAGATATGTCACAAAGTTAAGAAAACTTACAGTTGTTTTTAACTCCCCATGATAATATCCTACATCATTATCTCTACTGTGAAGTGAACACAGAACTTTGTGCCTATAAAACATACAACTGAGTACAACAGGTACAAACAGTGAGGACCAAATTCCATTTTGAGGGAAAAAAATCACTGTGACATTGCTCAGATTGAGAAAAAAACTCAGATCTTCAGTCTTCATTATCGAGTTCTAGATGGTCCTGCAGCTGGGGTCATTCATTCATGAGCTTAGACTATAAAGGAGGCACAGATTTTTGACCATTGGAAACAGATGGAAACTTTCACAATAGCACTTGGTACCTATGTATAGGACAGCAGAAACTTAATGAAAACAGACAATATCATGTTCCTCAATCCACCCAAGTCCCTGTGACAAAAATCACATACCCATTTCCTAACAGCTCTTCAATGTACCAGTATCCAGAACTGCTAAAATTACTAAAAAGCATACCTGGGGAGAAATTATGCAATTACTAAATGTCGATTTTGGGTAAACAAAAATTTTTTTTATACAGCCTGCCTGACATACCCAGTAGTGAAAGAAAACATTTACTGAAAGCAGATGTACAAAAGTGTAAGAAACCAGTTGCTTTCACAAGGTAAGTGGTGAAAAAAAAAGTTTAATTGCAAGCTGTAAACATAGTGTCCACCATAGCGGGGGAAAAAATAATGGAGCACAAAATGCACGCATCATTCTCAAATTTCACAGCACTTTTCAAGATAGCAAACAGCATCACTATATTCTCTTAGTTTAATTAAAGTAAAACATTTTCATTTCTGAGCTCTCACTCTACACATTTTATCTTTAAATACCAAAGGGAATTTTATTAATGTTCTTGCCAACAGTCACAGACATAAGATCTACATAGAGATTCATTAAAGTCACAATGCTTGGTTAGTTATAAACTGAACACAGTTTTTATATGACCAACATGATGAAACGTATTTTCAGAAATATGTGTAAAATTACCATACCAGAATCACAAGCACAATATTCATGAGACAGAAATGCATACATTTCCTCAATTACAAGAACACTAAATATTTTATGAGTCTCAATATCAATAAATAGCTTCATTAATGTACACTTTGCAGTACAGCAATTCACAATTTACTATGTACAAGCAGAAAGAATACAAATTTACATGAGGTCAAGTATCCACCTGGCATTCTATTTACATTGAAACTTGAGACTTTCATACGAGATAATGACTGAGAAAGCAGCATTTGTATGGATGGAAACAAACCAGTCATTTAAATGAGAGAGGACAAGATATTAGAGAGTGGTAGAGTACCCTTTCTAGTCCCCCCCCCCCCAACAACTACAATGTTACAATAGCAATAAAAATTTTTAAAAAATCACAAATAGCAAAGAGTACTCGACAGTGAATTCTCCTCACAAGAACTAAAATGAACCTTAAGGTATACTTTTGCTATAACAGGCGCAGCAACACTGAATAGGTACATGTTTACAATAACTATGGAACAACACTGCATGGCCGTACATAAACACACTAAGTCTGGATCTATTAACAAGTAAAAACTTTGATTTGCAACTTTAAAGAAAAGTTTGTGCATTTCTGTTCCTATTCAGCCAAGAGAATCGTGTTTACTTGTTTCCCGCAGACTTTGTGCTTATTTAGGGCAGGCTGAACATACATCTAGAGGACAAATCATTTGTCTCGTAATCAGACCCTTTAAACTAGAGATGAGATGTTGAACACGTAAGTTCATTTGTTGGAGGCTGAACACGCTCATCAAACCTGAAACAACTCGCTACCTCAGAATTACAAAGTTCTATCTGGAACTACAGAACATGTCACAAGCCTTTAAACCTGACTGTTTATCACAACACACCATGTCATGCACTCACTATTGTAGCTAGGTGTATCATTGTGACCTTGGCTATCAAGTTTCAAACAATGACCACTTTTTGAAAGATACTCATTGGTTTAGGTTGTCACCCAAAAACACAAAAGGGCAGGAATTTCTTAACACCTTGTCAACCTAATGTTTGCCGTGGTCTAACGTTTTTTTTAAGGGTAAAGTGGCACTGAGAGACAACAAAGGCTCAAGGCAAGGAGGATGTTTAAGTTAAATAGCTGCATGTGACGTAGTGATGTAAACTGTCCTGGTCTGGAAGTTTTTCTCCCCATATTCACCAGGTAGTGGTTTGTTGTAGATGAAATTTTTTAAAATTGAAATCAGGGGTTTTACGATTGTATTTTCGTAAAATTGAAAAAAAATTGTAATGATTCTGCAAAATTCGTAATGATGGGCAGCCCTGTACATCAGGTACTGCACAAAACAAATGGCTTTTGACAAATATCTGTAATATTTTTAGACATGCCTGCTTCACTTGTTCATTTAACTTTACCTTCATTTTCTGCTCTTAAACAAAGAGTAAGAAATACATAAAGTTCTCAAGAGGATGCCAACTATATCCTTCAGCACTGCCCGCGCTACGCCACCCTTCATACACAGATGTGGCAGAATGTGACTCCTCTTGAGAGAAAACCCTACGACAGTCTCTCAGATTTGGAGCAGACTGCACAGTTTGTGCACGACATCGGACTGACTGTCTAGTCGGTCATTGAGAACAAGGAAGAAGAAGAAATATAGTTCTCTTTAAACTAAGCTACGTAAGTCTAACCTATTGTAAAACACATCAGAATGGCATCACAATTCAAATAAAAATAAACTTATGTACTAAGTTAACAAAGTGACACTTTGGCTGAGATTATGTCTAAGTCTAAGCATAGCACGAAAAGGTCTCTTTAAATTATACAAGAATGGAATAAATATATCATCAATTGATGAACATAACATACTATGGTCACTAACCTAAATCGTATTGCACAATCCACAACAACAGAATATGACTAAAACATCTAGTGACAGTTTTTGGTTTGGACAAACTATAGAGGCTACTAACAGCCATCACCCTGGCGAATATTTCTTTGCCAGTGAGTAAGGAAAAAAGAAGAAGAGGTAATTAGTACAAAGAACAATTATGCACCAAGCTGTAGTTGTAAAACTGAAGTACACTTTCCCATCAAATACTAGCCCAAAATGAGCGCACTTAGAAAAGACAGTGCCGAAAAATGAAATTTATTTCTTCCGATGCGTCTAGATCAAGATTGACAATCTACTCAGTATGTGGTATTCTATAATACTATTGGTACACAGCTTTATTTATCGAAATCAGTTGCTATATCTTTATCATGATATACATTATTTTCAACGGATGTATATTTGAATTGGGAAAACCAATGGACAGCTCTTTTAAGTTGAGATTAATGTCAGATCCAGTTGTGTGTAACCATCCTGAGTTCTGAACACAAGCAGTAGTACTCATATGTAAAAATCAAATAAGTTTATACAAAAGAAAATAAAGTATAAAATTGTAAAGGAAGGATTCCTTCACTATAGGTATTTACATCACAAAGAGTAAAAAATGACACTTTTGATAAATAAAAACTAAAAATGATGCATTGACCAGATACATAATCCCAGCTTTTCAAAAAATAAATTGCGAACATATTTACCTGCCTTGCAGACAATATATGCACTGACAATCTGAAGGGTCAGCATTAATTATCAGTCAGCAGACATTCAAATCTCCACAGTGCCATGCATGACACCAGTCAATATGTTTCTTAAAAATATAAGGCAAATTACAGTGACTGTACGCAAAATAAAAATAGCAGTAGCAGCAAAAAGAAATCTAAATATTAAACAAATCACTATGAGCTTTTACACTTATCAATAATATCCATCCACTTCTGTTAGTATGCACTTCACTATTTCAAGTACCGGTACGCAGTGTCTGTGATTAACGTACATGATCATGATGAAAATTCTTTAACTGCCATCAATAGTATACTAGGGGCTTTGCACATGTGATAGTATAAAACTGAAATTCTGATCTTATATTCCCCCCCACCAGGGCAGTGCTACAGGCGGAAGTGTCTTTAGGCCATTCCCAAAGGGAGGATAATACTAACATGTTCTTATGCACAGTAGAATTGTAAATGGGCAGATTTATCATGTCATGCTCATACTGTGCCGAAACAACATAGGGAGAACTGCTGCTTTTTCTTTCCTCATCCTCACTGTTGTTATTTTTGCCTCTACTTCTTTTGTAGGTTTGTCACTCTCTTGTGAACTGCTATTTGCGGGGTGCCTTGATAGTTGAAGGAGACTTTATGCTGTTGAGGCTAGATAGGTTAGCAGAGTAAGCCTGATTCCACTGTTTGGACTTCTCTGTTGACATTCACCCCTTGGCGCTCATTGACCTTATGTAGTTGCGAGAGTCGTAAAACCTTACTAAAACTAAAATGATCTTATAAGAGAGCAAAGACTGTTTACTTTCACATAAAACCACTTTCTGTCATGTAGGTCTTATGATGGAAAAAACTATTCTTTATGTAAAACAGGATACCTATAATACATTCAGCTTAACCCAATGCACCTGAGCTATGAGTGTATTCTTAGCTGCTGCGCGCTTCTGTCCACCGAGCTACAAGAATAGTCGTATCAAAATACCAATCCAAAAAATCGAGTCTGAACCACTCATGCAGGTTTCTATAGAAAATAATAGGTCGTTTGTAGCTTGTAAAAACTTTTGCAAGCCTGTTTCGATCCAGTTTTTCGTCAAGTACGAGATATTTTTGTTCTTTTGTCATCGCAAATAATGACAAGAAAGCGAGTACTGAAATCTTCATGGACGAGAAGAAAAACAGGGTCACAAAAAACAAGTGCCACGGCTATTTTTGTGTTTGTTGAAACACATGAATCATGTTTTAGTTTGTTTTAGGCATAAGCGGCAAACAAAGTGAAAGTAAACCTAAATATAGAAAAACAAGGCGATCGGATTGATTTTAGTGCCTTGAAAACTTCGAAGAAAAGCTAGATCTAGACCATAGACTTACTATAAGTTACTATAGCTAAACCGAGTGCCGATGAGTCGCAGTGGAATGAACAATATGTTGTTTTCCCTGCTCTTTCCTTCCCCTTTCTCTCTAATAATATTAAAATAACATTTAAAGTAATATCTAAGAAAAATTTCATATTGATACCCTAAATAGTTTGGGCACAATGCGTGTCTAAGTTTAATGTGTGGAGTTCAGACCGGTTTTTCCCGCCGGCTCGCGGCAAGTCAGGGTGGACACAAGTGTACTGCTGTGGCAACGCAAGGTGAATTGGGTTAAGCTAAAATATCAATTTTTTGTACGGTTAAATAGTATTAGAAAAGACAAAAGTACATTTGACAGCCATTAATTTGACAACCTGTCAGTCCTGCATTCAAACCTGAGGCAAATCCTAGCAATAAGACCACTCGACAACCAGTAGTTCCTCTCAATACATACTCACAAAAATGTGGGAGAAATTAGGAATGACAGATCACTCTTTCAGTTTAAAGATCATCAGAAGTGGATGTATATCACTGTCAGTGTGGGATTTGGAAGATAACAATGATGTAAATGAAACAAATTTGTTCAATGTAGATTGCACTTTGCTGTCCCCGGCTTGTCACCCTCACAGGTAGGCTATCTGTCATTGACCATCCTGCTTCAATTTCTTGATGGTGTTCTTCAGAGCTTGCCTTTTGTTGCAGAACCAAACACGGATGACTTCTCTGTCGTAATTAAGTCTTTCTGATAGCTCAGTCATTTCAGTACCTGAAAGAGAATTGCAAAAGTGCTGTTTCACTTCAAAACTAAAAAGAACATTTTGAATCAGAACCAAAATCAAGAGAACTGACAAAAAGAGTTATCAGTCCAGTTGAATTTGCTTCATCTGGAGGGAAGTTTTTCATTTTTTCACAGGGCTTGCTTGGCGTCACGCCACAGAGATATGAACCTAAAATGGCCTTGTCTTAGCCTTACACAAAACCCTTATATTTCACAATATGGAACTATGAAGTGACTTAAGTTTTATTGCAGAACACTTGTCTTGAATTATTAATTTTGCACCATACCAAAATACTAGTTAATTAAAACCCCCCACATGCAGCACATCACATCTTTTAACTTTTTAAACGCCATCGCACACTGGGAGCGTCCAGCGGTAATAACCCTGTTCCCTATCATCAGATGTTGGGAGCGTCCGATACTAGTATTAGTAGCAACTGTTTCGTTTCATTTAGTGCTAGTTTTTTTCTTGTTTTTCGGAACTATTCCCGATCAAAGTTTTTTTTAAAGTAATGACCAAACCTTTGTTTCCACCATTTAGAAGTTGGAGGCAAGCTTTTGGGGTTATATAATGAGACATAGTGCATCAGGTTTAGGAGACTAGATAAACTCCAAGAAACGGTGGAAAATAACTCAGGGTTTAAAGAGTTAAAAGAATCAGGTCTGTCTACCTTAAAGTTCCCATTTCAGGTAAATTCAGGGTCAGTTTCATGTATTTTGGCATAAAACCAGGAAGTACAAAGACAAAGAAGGGAAACAAAACATAAGATGATCGTTGCCCCCGCACAGATAGTAACCATAGAACGTGGCTTGCTTTTCGTGATATTGGCTAACTATATTTTCAAAACTTGTTTGTGTATGCACGTATGTGCGCGCACGCGTGCTTTATGTGGGGAGGGGAGGGGAGGGATGTGTTTAGGTGTGCCATAAGTTAAGGTTCAGTATTGATGAATGTGGAACTGAGTGACAGGGTGACTGCAAAACTGACTTCAAAACCCTTTGTCCATACCAATAGAAACTATATCAAAACACATTTTCCGACATGAGCATAGGGCACTGATAAGTCCGGTGTGACTTAAGTATGACAAACAATTTTAACTAGTTTTGCTATAAAAATACAAAATGAACCTTGATCAGGGCCTGTGGAGAGGCCAGAGCATCAACTGCCAAAACCATGTTTGGGATTCAGCAATCACAGATTTTTAAAAGTATGCAAGACAACTTATAAAAAAACCCAACCCTATAAAGTTAGGCTCACGGAGAGCATGTTAAAGCCCGAGCTGGAAGGACTGTGAGATATAGTGATGCTGAAAACCTGGCAATCACTGCATCATGGACTAAGTACTGATTTTGTTCAAAATGCTCAATCACAGAACGTTTTAATCAGCAACAAGTCATCATGGTGCACAGGCATCCAACATAGGGGTGCTATGCCGCACAGCACAATCTAATCATAAAAATTTGTTTCCAGATTTTATCCCCCAATAAGTTTAATCCTAAAAAAGATGTTTTTCTTTTTTCCTCAGGCATACCCCCCCCCCCTTCCCAAGGTACAGGGGGGGGGGTGGAGAGGTCGGGGACGAAGCCCCCGGAAGAAGTTAAAATTTAGGGTTGAAAATGGCATTTCTTCATTGCCACTATTCAATTTATCATCTTATCATTAAAAAATCCAGCAAATCCGGAAACGCAAAAATTTTGAAGACACAATCACCAATCTAATTTTCTCTCATTTACGCGCTCGATTGTCGAATGTCACTGACTGGTCACGATGACAGGCCCGACAATCTAGAAATCAGAGGACGCTTGCTTTCTTTTTCTTCATTATAGCAACAGCACAGTGAAAACATTTGATTTTATTTGTATGGTAACACTGTGTTTCTAAACTGTGTACAAGCTGCATGTCATAACTGTAGAGCTACAAACTATCATCCGACAATTCTGGGCGGTAACGAAAGCGAAAGATGATTTTGATTTTCGTGATGGAGCCTCGGTATTACACCTACACTTCCACCTGCCGCCAGAGCAGCTCATTCGCGTGAAACTTACTCTAGGACCGGGATAAGCCGAAGATAGTAATATACACAAACGCGACCGGTAAATTTTTAACTCCGTGGCCTTTTTCAGATTTGATTTCGAGGACTTTGTGCATTTCCCAGGGTTTTTCCTGGGGCAATTTACAGATCCTCAAATTCCAGGGGGCAATTCACAGATCCTCAAACTCCAGGGGCATTCCCGGGTCTCCGTTTTTTTTCTTCAGATTCAGATTCCCAGGTAATTCGCTGCCCCCCCCCCCCCCCCCCCCCCCCCGGATTCTAGGGCCCTGGCAGTCATCCTGCGCGTAGAATCCTCATAACGGTACTAACCAATTCTCTAGACCAAGACAGATTTGAGTAAGTTTTGCTCTGATACTGATTTTCTCTCTATGTCCACGATTCAGTTTTCTAGATAAATGCACAAATTTTCAAGCTGCAGCAAAAACCCGAAGATAGACAGAAAGAATGAGTGAATGAATGAATGAAAGGAAGGAGGAAGATTATCTATTGTGAGTATCCAGCTTTTAACCGATTTACACATGAAAAATTATTGCCGACCGAACCGCACGGAGAGACAATGGTCGAGTGAGCAAAATGCGCAATCTGGCAGTTTCTAACACACCCTATTGCAGAGTAACCATTTACATCCAAGAAGTTACAGAGGCAAGTGCTGATCCTTTGCTACGGAGTACCGATGAATTCTCTCTCTCCCTCCCTTCAAGGCATGGAGTTTATAAGATGATGCAGCAGTACGCAAGGAATGTACGGATTTCTGCAAAAACAGGGAAGATTGAAAGAACTGCAGAACGTTTTTTTCCTTTCTTTTCTACTTTCGGCCTCCATTGCAAATCCGGTAGTTTTGACACCTTTATAGGCATGGCGGTAGAAAAAGCCCAAAATCGGTAACTACCGGAAAAATCGATAGATTTAGGCAGCCCTGAAGAATATTATATCCTCAGCTAGCTGTATAATTATTCCAAGCTCAAAAGCAAAATGTTTCAGGAGAGAGAGAAAACATGTCTTTTTAAAACAATTATACCTAAATTATGTTTTCTTGCCTTTTTTTCCTCAAAATTTAGAGTTTGAATTTTAACAAAATATTTCTCGAGAAACATGCAACTTAATCACAGATGGGGAAACTGGCAACAACAAAAAAAAGGGGGGGGGGGGGCTCAGTACATTTGAATGGCTGGCCGATATGCAAACTGCAGATCACAATTTAAAAAAAAGTACATTGCACCAGTAGTAAGTTCCAAATCTGAATCCTTCAAAAGAGAAGTTCCAAATATATCATTTTAAAGCAAAGGAACCCGGACTCATTGGCAGAGAGGAAAGACGATATATAATGAAAGAGAAAAATGTAGAAATAGTACACCCCAGTAATTATCACTGAAGTATTATTTTAGTAAAGACATCCTTGAGGAGTTAGAGCAAGAACAAAAGAGAAAGTCGAACCATATTTACAAATTATGATATGCAAGAGTAAGGGGAACTTTTTCGTAAAAAGCATACCTGTTGGATGTGTATTCCTCTCAAAATACTGGTTCAATAACTCCAGGGCCTGTGGTGTGAAGGAGGTCCGTCGTTTTCGTTTCTTACTTGGTTCACTACCGATAAAATCTGTGAGATTTTGAACTCCATTCTTGTACCTCTCCTCCGCCTCTGCCATCCACCGCTCTAACACAGGCTTTATTTTCTGAGCACTCTTAGGAGTAATGTCCAATTTTTCAAACCTGGGAGTGGAAACCGAATTGAACTTATAAACTTGAAGTAGTAAACTGGAAGTTTCAGGAAGAGTTAGAGAAACATTTCCTTAGTCGTAACACAATTGCCTAAGTCATTTGTTTTTTGAAGAAAATTCTGTCACAGCAACCTTGCGACTTCTGCAAAAGTTGAATTGTCTCAACAAGTGGATTTTTAGTACATAAAAATAAAACTAAACCCTGCTACATTGAGGCTGTGAAAAAAGTGACAGGCATTATTTCTATACCAATAACTGAAACCAGAAATAAGTGACTTTAATAACTACTGTACTGTTATTCTTTACATGATATTATCTCTCATTCTCATTTTTGGTTCCCAATGTAGGCCTACTGAATTCGCCGCCTCCTACAACTGAATAGTTTGACGACAAAGCATGACAAATGCCATTTTTGAAATTTGGCGGAAACTAGTACTGCTGTACCTAGAAAGGTGAGGCACATATATAGTCAACTTCTTTTTTCATAAAAAGCAATTTTTCCTCTTAGAAGAATTGCAGAAAGTGACACTTATTTTAAACTGCAACAAAAGCGGTAGACCTTTTTTGACTAACCGAATGTCTTGTATTTGTCAGTCAAGTTCTTTCAATGAGTCAAGTGACTTTGCTTGTGGTTGAAGAAAGTTTAAAGCTAGTTCTTTCTCTTCCTTACTATTGTAATGTGGATATCTTGCATTTTGTCAAAAACATGAGGAGATCTCATTGATTTAAATGATAAAAATCCAACATAAATTTCATCATACAACAAAGTAAGTCATGTTTACTTTAAAAACAAAGTTGCTCAAGACTTCAGTAAATGGATGTAGAACAGAAATCTTAATTTTTCTCAAAACCGGATAAGTCGAGTTTGTTGCAAAACTGGATATGCCGCGTTTTGTTGCAAAACTGTTCAGTTGTACTCTAAGACAACTGTTTACTCGAAGGAACAAAACATTGCTTCCTTCTTTAACTACAAACTTAATTCTTGTCATTTGAACAGCTAATTCTCATTCTTTTCACTATTATCTCTTCAGTTGAGTTGAAGAACACTATTTTCCATTTACAATGTCAATAAAATCTGCATGCAGTGCTTCTTGTTTCAAAGCCGCTAGAAAAGCAATTGTGAGGTTAGGCACATGACTTTGATATGACATTTTTATTTTTGATAAAAGCATGCAGGTTTTTAAAGGGTGCAAAAATAAATTAACATTAAAATTTTGTCATACTGCTTCTAAATCAAAAAGTGAATTCCGACCAAACACAAATGCAAGCTACATTTAACTAAACTGCTCATGCTGACAGTAGCAGCATTATTCCTCGAGACTCACCTGCATATTGCTGACTGGCTGTAGGCTGGTCCCTCAGTCGCACTCAACGCCTGCCCAACTTGTGTCTGGGTGAGGCCCAGGGATAAACGTCGAATTTTGAACTGTCGGGCAAACTCTTTGATTTCGTCAAGATTGATGCCATCCACTGTTGTGCTCTCTGTTGAGTTCCCAACAGTGTCTGCAAAGGTAATATTGAAATCCGAGATAAAACAGGATCATTTCTAATGAAAAATAATTTATTTCTGACTTTTTCAATAAGTGAGATAAAATCATTTCAGCAAATTATCTTCACTTTTTTGAGACCCAACTATTAATTAAAAAGTAAAGAATATGGCCAAACTGTTTTTAGCAAATCAGCGCAGTGATGACTACATTTCACCAGGAGCAGACCAGAACCAAAAAAAAAATTACTGAATAGGAGTAGGAGCAGACCATATCAGAGCTCCTGACAGCAATCTTCAGTAGTGGAGAAGTCAACAAAATATGTTAAGAAATTGAAAAATTAGACAAACAAGTCAGGCTATAATGGTGTAGAAATGGGCTATAACGGTGGAAAAGTATGACTAAACAAGTCGGGCTATAATGGGAGGAAAAGTTTGACAGACAAGTCACGCTATATTGGTGGAAAGGTTCAACAAGTCAGCGATTACTTACGTGGCAAGAGTTGTGAGACATTAGGTGGAAGACCATTGGTGGAGGATGAGATGTGAGACTGTTGTGACAACTTGCTGTTGGCATGAGACACACTGGCTGCCACAGCCTGCGACAACGTCTGCTGGAGAACTTGTTGTGCTGTGGCCGCGGCTGCAGCATGGCTCACAGAGTGTGACGTCAAGTGAGCTGTGCCCACAGAGGAAGATGATTGGCTTGTGGATATTGGTAATGATGCCAGCATCTGAAAAGAACAACAGCTCAGATCTAAAACGCTTTGCTTTTATTACAATTCCACAAGAGATGAAATTGGAGATTTATACAGCTGGTCACAGGAACTGAAAACCAATTTACACTTTGCAGTCACACAGCCAGCAGTACAAAATACACCCCATCTGGCCACCCAGCCAGGAGAACAACTGCAACAGACTTCTCGGGCCTGGCGCCAGGTGACCAGAACGAATATTTTTTCATTATTGCACCAAGTGACCACAAAGTGTTAAATAGAAAATTAAAGAGAAATTGAAGAAAACCAAGGGAAGTGAATGTTACGGTACAACGGTGGGAATTTACTGTAGGCCTTGCAGCTTCGCCACACACAGCTGTGCAAGCAATTCGTCCCTCTAAACACGTACTAGCGTAAGCCACATCTGACCCGAAATCGAGTTATACCAATCACGCGATTCCCTTTATCCGATACTACATCCTCTCAAAAGATCGTAGGAATCGAGCAATAAATAGCTGAGATATAGTCGATTCCAGTTTGAACGTATCACACTTGCCCACAAAAAGATACAGCTCGTACTAACACACTGTTGGTTACGCTAGTGCGTGACGTACACTTTGACCCATTGTTGTGTTTTTATTATACGGCACAAACTAACGTAAGCCACACAGCCAGGGCTAAGCCTATGGCAAAAAAACATCGCACAGCCCTTCTAGAGAGCGGGAAGACAAGCTAAACTACACACTCACACACGACGTGTGCAGCGTGCTTCGTGTGAGGCAGTGAATGCTCAGACTTCACTTCTAGAAGCCCCTTTTTACTCGTCCTTTGTTTACAAATGGGATCCCGCTCTGAACAAACACTCTTTCTTTGACATGTAGCCCTACTGTTCAAACTCTGATTGACATTCAGAACCCTGGTAAAGTCTTCAACTCATAGACTGTATAAGTCATGGGTATCCTACTGCCACTGAGAACTTTAAGGGACAAATAGATACACGTATGTGCTTCAAGGGCACTGATATGCTTAGTGAGGCAGACAGTGATGAAATGTCAGAGTGTGACTATGATTCAGATGGCGATCCGGAATGCAATCCTGGAACATGCGAGTACAGAAGGTACAATGCTGAAGTATGGGCGGCTTGTCCTGATTGTGAAATCCTTCTTTGCTTTGATCATTTCAATGAAGAGATTGCATCCTGTAGGTAAGCCCTCGAAGTTTAAGATTCCCGCTGGTGTGAATGTGAACACTGATGCTCCCAATCAGTTTCAGACAAAGGAAAGTCATTGATGAGGGGGGTGGAAGAATGCAAAGATTAGTTCAAGAGCAGTTACAGTGGGGGGAAGAGAGAAAGAAGTTAGAAAGGAAGAGTAACTCAGATCAAACATGCAGAAGGAATCCAAAATGAAGAGGAATTTGGGACAAGCATGCAGAAAAAAAGACGTGCCTGCCAAACACATACAAGCAGGAGAGAAGGAGACACGGGTACAAAGCACAAGAAACAATGCTCAACAATTACTGATGAGCAGAGGCAGGCTATTTTTTTATTCGTATCACTCCCTTGGAGATCTAAGAATGAAACGGGAGTTTCTTGTGAGGCATGTCAAATGCTGTAAAACAAAGAGGAAATACACTGAAGGCGAATCACGAAGAAGTAATACCAATCATGCCTACAGTTGGGGAGTTTTGTTCCACTCTGCAAATTGTTTTTCTTTAACACTTTGGGCATTTCAGAACAGAGCGCCAGAACAGCATTGAACAACGTTACTTCCACTGGCATAGCTGAGAATGACAAACGAAGCTGGAGACAATCTGAGGCAGAAAGAGAAAGAGATGCATTTGTGCGCAAAGCAATATCAGATCACTTGGACAGATTTCCTAAAGTCAAATCTCATTTCTGTAGACAAAAATCAACTAGAGAGTATCTGAGCCAGGAACTCAGCAAACGGCACATGTACCACATGTTCATCCAGGTATGGATACCCAGAACAAGGCCACCAAGCTTCACTACATACAACCAGGTACTCATAAGTAAAAATCTGTCAATCCACCGACCCAATAAAGACCAGTGCCCTCTTTGTGTCAATTATCGTCAAGGAAATGAAGAAACAAAGATAGGTCTTAGAGAAAAGTTAGAGATCCATGTGGGAGAAAAAGAAAAAGGTCAGGGAAATAAAGGTTGTATGCAAGTGCAAGAAAGAGGCTCAGGAAAGTGAAAACATTTTCTGTGCAAGTTTTGATTTGCTGCAGGTGATTTACCTCCCTATGTCTCAGGAGAGTGCCATCTTTTACAAAAGGAGGTAGTCGAACTACAACCTGACTTTCTATAACATTGTTAACAGAGATTGTCACTGTTTCACTTGGGATAAAACGCAAAGCAAACGTGGATCCTCGGAAATTTCAACTACAGTCCATCGTGCCCTGAATTTTTATGACGACCTTGGCACCAAAAAAGCTTTTCTTTTTGCCTATGGATGCAGTGGTCAGAACAAAAATTCGATTACGCTAGCGATGATTTTGTATACAGTGAGCAATAGTGTGAATCTTGAAGAGATTTCATTGAGGTTCTTTGAAACAAACCATGGTCAGAACGAGGGTGATTCTGTACACAGTGCAATAGGACATGCCCTGAAGAGGGCTGGGAATTTGTTCCTTCCTTCTCAGGTAGTAACAGTGATGTCTCTCGCTCGACCTCAAAAGCCTTACCAGGTGAATCAGTTGCAGTCTAAAGACTTTCTGCATCTCAAAGGCTTATCAAAGGACTTCAGAATCCTGGACGCACGAAGAGGATCTGATACAGAAGAATCATTTTCGAGGAACAATGCATGTATCATGGAACGGCGAGTTACTATTTTTAAAAATCATATACAGTTGACGCCTTCATATTCGGAGTTGCTGTTAACATTATCATTTGTCACGGATAATACAGCCCGTAAATTTAAACGAAATTTATCTTTCTTTGCATTTTTATTGTTATTTGGAAGTTACCATTTAGGCGTAAGCCATGCAATGAACGTATATATAGTATAATATACGCTTTAGGATACAAAAGCACGTACTAACGTATCCAACAATCTAGTAACGTAAGCCACACATTGAGGCTTTCATTGAGGTAGCACGTAGTAGCGTATCGGACAAAAAGGTCATTTTTTCCTTCAAAACCGACTATTCTCACAAAGATGCTTCTAGCCAATTGAAAAGTACTTGGCCCACACACGTAATGTCAAAATATTAAGGGCAGGATCGGCTATTTGACGCCACAATGAAATGGTGAAAATCGCCCAAATCTTTAAACGTCTCTCCTGCAAAACTAACAAAATGTGGCTTACGCTAGTTCGTGTTTTGAGGGACGAATTATGCCATGTCTCTTTTTGAACCTATCCAACCGTCTCTAAACATGCCAAAGAGGTAAAAAATCCTTTCAGGTTCGAAACTATGAATACGTAGACAATTGGTATTAAACTCATATTCATGTACAAATACAGCAGCAAAGTGAATATTTTGTGACCAAACATTGGATACTTGATGGTCTGTTTGGGATTCTGATGTGCATGATTACAGAAAAACATCCCATTGGATTGCGTGATACAGTAGTCTCTGCCCAAGATCCGGGTTCTTGGTTGCAAGGAAAATGCAGAATCTAAGGCCAATGGTATCTTAGCTGATGCATCAAGGGAAAAATTCACTATGACTCGTGTTGTAGTCCACGATTGGTCAAATGGTCTTCTCTTACTTTGAAATGAACTGATGTAACCCCTGAGTGGCTTTATGACTTATGCGACCAAAAAGTGGCCAACCTTCATGACCAATCACAATATCATGGGGCATATCGAATCTCAAGATCTTTTGATAGCTTTCCATTTCTGACCAAATTTCCCCCCGTCTCTGTCATAATGCACCATTGTGTTGTGACTGCACCAATTAAATTCAGTCTGTCAAGAAAATTTGGATGTTAAGACAACTACTGCAATGGTAAGGGAAACAAAAGCACCGAAGAGTTCACAGTTTGATGCAATCCCGTCTGATGTGGACTTGTTGGCCTTCCCATCCCAGTTTGTGACGTAAGTTCAGGTGGATAGTTCAGATGCAGATGGAATGTTTGGGCAAAACAAAGGTGCCGATGTGTTCATACATAAGTGTGATCCTGCGTGGGGCAAACATTGTACCATTTCATTGAGGTTTACGTCATCTAATGGTTTTTTTACTATATAAATTTGACGTACATATGAACGTTCCGATCTGCGAAACATGCGAACAGGTAAAGCTTGACAAAGGGAAATTTTCACTACGATCTGCACAACTGCAGCCTAGAATGGACAGCTTTTCCATACCCTATTTTCCACAGACATGTAGGTCTAGGACTGATCGGTGAAATTTTGGGGGGATTGGGGGACTGAAATGTTATTAGATTGGTCACTGCTGAGAGGTTTCTGACTGGTGTTTGGGTGACTGCATGTAATGTTTAGTTAGACCCAAGCCTATGATGCGCAACATGCGTGAATGTTTGTCAATGAATTTACGGTCCGGGTTGGTCACTGGGAAAGCCACGTGTCTGGGCCGTCGTCTCTATGACAATCACCAAAAATTTCCTTTTGGTTATCTGATCCCGACATTTTATGGTGCATATCATTACATTGAGTCTTTCTTTCTGCCCCCCCCCCCCCCCCCCCACACACACACATTCAACGCCTATGTATTCTTAACCGTAGTCGGGGAATCCTTCACAAAACAGTCACATGTCGTCACATTATCGGCCCAAAGTGACCCCCACCCCAAAGGGAGGTCACTAGAATATCAAGGCAATGAGATGACTGTGTCCCTTCCTCTCTTTGCAAAGGTTCATGTAAATGCACGCTCCGTATAAACGCACGCTAAGGAGCCCTCCCGAGCACCTTTGGTTTAGGCGGAGACTACTGTACTGTATCCGGTTTAATCTATCATAGTAGTCTCCATCTGAAATCCCATCGTTTATGATCCCGGTTCACTTAAGATTCCATTGTTTAAAAAAGAAAGAAAAGAAACAACCCGCTAAAAAGCAACAAATTTTATTACAGAAAAAGATTCCACTCTGGAGTCCGAGTTTTAGATCATGTTTTACTGAACAACAAAAAAATAAATTTGTGCATTGTCCACACTCATACATAATACATACGATCACATCATCATCATCTGCGACAGACATCCGCGATCATGGTTTTCCATTCATTCGTTTGCTCGGATGCTCTCAAAAAAGCTATGTTTCTCTGATCTTTCCCTGTTACCTATTTGTTTAGGTTCCTTAAGTATGTTGTTCTGGGCCTACCCCAGCCTTGCTTGCCCTCAATTTTGCCAGTGAGAGTTAGATGTTCAAGACCTTTATGTCTATTCAGGTGTCCCAAAAACTGCATTTGTCGTTTCCTGAATGTTTTTAACATTGAGCGTCCCACTTGGGCTTCATCAAGCACTACCTCATTTGATACCATATGATCACATCTCTGCTCTAAATTTCTCAACGAGTGATACAATGTTCGCCTCAGGCGCCTTACAATGAAAGGATCACACTCAGGTGTGAACTTTTCGACACCTTTGATTTCTCCGCACATCAAACTACAGCAAGGCGTGATTCTGTTGGCTGCATCAGATGGGATCAAATCAAACTGATTTCATCGGTGCTTTTGTTTCCCTGACCAACTATCAGGTGTGCATATGAATTTCCGAGACAGATTTTGCGCCTATACTCTGGGACTGTCTGATGTTCTTTGTGTAAGTGTAATATTGAGCCAGCCTTTCATTCTTCGAATTTTTATTGGTGCGTTTACAAAACAATGATGAGTTACGACCTGAATATGAGCGGTGATTTCGGTCAGAGATGAAGGAAAGCAATAAATACCTGACAGGCAAAGGGGAGGAGCAATGAGTGAGATAACACTTTATTATTATTAATACTAGGTATATTTGCGCATCAATACAGTTTGTACATTTTTATCCCATTTTAAAAGACATATGATACTGTAATTATTATTACCTTTTCAATAGTTAAAACCATTGGGGGGGGGGGGGTTGCACAAAAAAAAAGGAAAACAAAATTACTGTGCTCAATAATTCATAGACAAAGGCATCATTGTAAGCAATCAGTTAAAGCCGATTTTGACTCTCTTTTGCTCTATAGTGTCCTTGTGTGTGAAGGACTTGGCTATCTTAAGAGAAGGCCTTTTACCTATGTATTCTAGACCTAAGACAATGTAGTCCTTTACGTTCACCATAACACATGAAAGTTAGTAATGGCACTCTCCTTAAATCATGCAATCATTGTGTCAAATTCAATACTTTGTGGTATGTCTTAATAACGAATCCTTTCAGCAGGATCTTATAGTAAGATTTACTCTCCTGTCTGTTTAATAATCTTCTGTTACTCGGCAAGACAACTGGGTTGTTCTTTGTTTTTTTTTGGGGGGGAGGTTCTCCACCCCTACCTCTCTCCCTCTAATCTCCAACCCACCGCCATTTTAGATTTTTAAACTACTGATACCGTAGCCTGTGTTTCACGACTAGTCAACACGGGGATCAAAACATAAAGTACATAGACAGTCCTTATCAGACAGCACCCCCACCCCCCTTTTCTCGTTCTCTCTCTCTCTCTCACTCATACACACACACACACTCTCTCTCTCTTTCTTTTACTTTTCCGCTCTCTCTTTTTCTTTTACTTTTTCTCTCTCCATCTTACTCTCCCAGGCCCACCCCAACATACCTTCACCCCTCTTTTCTGCACATATTCCCCCCCATACCGTAGCCTACTGCCCAGCCCTACTAATATCCTTTGTCAAGAAATAAATGCAGATCGTGCTGGGTGACCATAGTTGGTGCCATTTTGTATGTTCCACTGGGCGTGCTGGGCGTGGTGCCGTGAAGAGAGAGAGGAGAGTCCATTTGTTGTCAGGTCCTTGCACCCATTCCTCTTGTGTACGCACTTCCCAATCCATACCTCCATATTCCAATAACAACAACCACACACATATATAAACATAAAATAATCCACACTATACCACCTAATGCAGTGCCACACTGTCTTCGGATTTTACCCCACCACTCACCCTCACATGACTAGATTCAAGGAAGCTCTAGTGCTTTATGCACACTACAAGTAATGTGCGATGATGTCTCTCCATACCAAGAGCATATCACATTGAAAATGACAACCAATAGGCAAAAATTACCTTTTAATACAGAGACTACAACTGCAACCTACCTGAGGAGTGACGGCCAACAGTTGACCCCCTGAGGCTGTTGTGAGGAGTTGGGGCAGAGCAGCAATGTGATTGGACAGGGACTGACTAGACTGAGACTCACGACTGGACTGCAAACCACTGGCTGCGAATACAGCATATATTATATGTAGGGCACACATCAACTGTAAACCAGCATCACACTAGCATGTTTGTTTAATCAAAGAGAAGCAAGTACACTGACATGATAATGGTCGTTTAAGGGGGGGAAGAAAGAAAGACAGAATGAACAGAGGGAAAGAAAAGCAGCAACACACAATAGGACAAAATAATTACGTGCCTACTAAATCTGAATATGGAGACTGATCGTGCACCCTACTTCTGATCGGATCCTTTAGTTGTGGCAAATATGAAATGTCCATCAGACTAAATTTCCAGAAATTGGAGAAAAATTTTGATTGGTGGGCCCTGCTCTGTTTCCAGCTCTTCTCCACTAAAGAAGCCCCCCCCCCCCTTGGCGCCATCCCTTCCTTTTCGAACAGTACAATCAATTACTCTTTCAATCCCGTTTCAGTCTTAATATATCAAAAGTATCCGGATTGTATTTCTAAAAGTATAATCTGCTTATATCGACATGTTTTGGGGAGTGGATTTGATGTTGATATATATAAAAATGTCGATAAATAAAAATATAAAGCAAAAGAGCAAAAAACAAGAGGAGGTCAGCGGTTGCAACGTGCAGCGAGAGGATGAACGTGAGTAAAAACGTGAAGCTAAAAATAGATCTCTAGCTCCACTAAGATGATGTAGGCTTACACAACTACACAGTGAAAATAACAAGAGGCGGGGGGGGGGGGGATTTGGAGTTGCGGTATCAAAGGCCGAGAAACGTGGGGCACACACTACACACCAGTGCAAAACTTTGTGGTAGCATCCTTGTAAGGCCTGTTCATGGCCGCTTGCTGGGGAAAATGGAAACGCGAGACACTGACTCACAGACCATGGCATTTGCCAGCGACAAACTGAGAAAGGGATGTGGAAAGGGAGTGAGTGATCGGGATGTGATGCCCAGCGCGTGAGACACTCATGTCTGTGAGGCACTGTACTGTGTTGGAGACTACACTGTGTAGGCCCTACACGACCTACTAAAGCCTGGTATGTCGAGGCTACTTGGCGGGTATGCGGACTAAATGAAGAACTAATGCGCTAGCCGTTAGCGTGGCTTTTCCCCTCATTTATGTTCGTGGGCTTCGACGTGTACCCAGGAAGCATGTCGATAAAGCAGAGTGGGCCGAAATAAAAGTCGATATAAGAGAAATTGTTTAGTGAAGATATTGATGGAAAAATTTCGTAATTGGAAAACATGTCGATATGTCAAAATGTTAATAAATCGGATATCGATATAAGTGGATTATACAGTAGTCTCTTAAGTATAAAAAAAATCTGTTCACAAAAGCCTTAACAACCAGTATCACTGTGTCATAAAATGCTTTCTAAAAGAATAACTACAAAACTATGTAAGGAAATTTAATCGAGGGTAACAATCTACAAGCTTCGCAATGCTAATAGTGAGCAGTCCCTGACATAAATAAAATAGGCAGTTGTATAAGTAGAAAAGACTCTTTATTAACTTAAAAAATACTCCTTTATTGGGATACAAACCAAGTGGCTGAGTTAATGCCTGTAAATTTGAGAGATTGGTCGCAAGGAACTGTCCCCCATTGTTGGTGGTTATCAGCTGGATTTGTTGGTTGCCTCCTGTGGCCAAAGAGACGGGTATGCTTATAAATTGCTGGGACCCATTTCCTGTACAGGAAGAGACAGGAAAAGAGAGTGAGGGAAAAAATATAAAACTCTGCTAATATCAAAATATGATTTGGAGGAGCTATGACAGAAGAAGTACTTGCTTATGTGTACATATCTGGATCGATAACAACAACATGTGTACATATAATATGAGAGTGAGTTAGCATGCATATATGTGCACATGCATGAGAGTGTGTTTGTGTCAGTGTGCGTAGCGTGCATGCCATACTCACAGTTCCTAAAAAGGAAAACACTTTGGCAGATTAACGATTAAACTGCTGAACTGGCACCAAGTGTCCCTCGTCCTCTCCATGAGTATGTGTGCGAGTGAGCGTGTTTGAGCATGAGTGTTTGCAATTTTATGAGCATGCTCATTTTAGAGTATTAGTTTAAGTTTATAGTAAGGTTTTACAGCAGTCGCAACTTCATAAGGTCATATGAGCGCGAAGGGGTGGATGTCAACAGAGAAGTCCAAACGGGGAATCAGGCTTTCTCTGATCACCTCTGTAGCCTCAACAGCACAAAGTCTACTTCGACAATCAAGGAACTCCGGAAATAGCGCGATTCACAAGAGAGTGACAAACACACAAAATAAGTAGAGGGAAAAATAATGATAGTGAGGATGAGGAAAGAAAAAGCAGCAGTTCCCCCTATGTTGTTCCGGCATAGTATGAGCATGATATTGACAAATCAGCCCATTTACAATTCTACTGTGCATAGGAACTTGTTAATACCACCCCTTTGGGAATGGCCTAAAGACAGTTCAGATAGTAGCACTTCCTGGGGGAGGGGGAGGTGGAGGGGGCAAATTTTAAGAGTGTGTGTAGCCTGCATATTCCAAGTAGATTTAAAGAAGAGACAAGCTGGGTGGCTTACCTGTGGAAACTGGGATAAGGATTTGCTGAACTGGCACAGAGTGTCCCCCTGTCTGCCCTGTGGAGGCAGAAGCAGGGGGCTGGCTGGCCAAGAAGAACTGTGGGGCCACCTGTGGCTGACCCAGTAACTGGGTCTGACTAGAGAGAGAGCTCAGGGCACCTGTGGAGGAGAACAAAGTTGAAAAGTAAGGAAAATTGCATGCTGAGGGTCAGGAGGCTGCATAGGTCACCCCCATCTCCAGGGTCAGAGTCTCGGAGGGGGTTTCAGGGGTCCAAGCTCCTAGAAAACTAAAATGTAGTGCTTTTAGAAGCATTTGGGAGCCTAATTCTGTCCCCGGCTTTTATGCACCCTGCATAATTTAGCAAAATTTGATCATTTTTTGCATAATTTCTGATTATTTTCCTTTATCATTCTTTGTTAAAATTAACAGAATTGCATAATTTCACATTTTTGGGCTCAGTTTGCATAATTTCAGAATTTATTTTGCATAAAACCGCGGGGACAGCTAATTGAAGAGACTGCCAGCATATCATAAGACTTAATATTTTCATCAAGAGTCTGTCTTGTTTTATCTGATTTCTTTACTTCATTGATAAAATCCGCACACAGATGCACTCTTTTCAGAGCTTTTTGGCTGCACAACACGCGTATTAACTGTGGCAAATCAATAGCTTTCAAGAAAGTCTGAAATCTGTTTTTTCCCCCAAAATATTCGATGATGGTGAAATGGATATTTAGAAAAATGCCCCTCTGAAACTCCCGTTTCAAAAACATGTGAAATATTACTACATAATTAGGGTAATTGTAATATGATTTTTTTTAAAACCATCAAATGCCCAAAAAACAAAACAATACAATGAATATATGGTTGAAATTCATGTAAAAGGTAAAAATGAAGAAGAAAAATGCTAAGAAATATCTGAACATGAGAGGGTGTAAAAGTAAAATAATGCCATTTTATTTATGTAGGCTATTCTTTTCCTTGCTGGTTATGTTTAAAAACAGGTTCCCCTTTCCACTGCCACTGTAATTCAAGTTGTCATCGCACCATTGACAACAGGCAAGTCATTGACAATTTCTCAATATCTAGACAGTTTTGAAAAAGTTTCTTTCTGATCTAACGATTCACTTTCTAAAATCACAATACAATTTTCTTGACCAACGCACAGTATCCGAAGATAGACAGAAAGAATGAGTACGAGAAAGAAAGGAGGATTAGCTGATTTGCCAGTAGAATTGTACTGATGAGAATCGAATTTGCCAGTCATGGCCCCCAGGCTGAGTAGGATATTGTATCTTATTAGAAAGTGGGGGAACGATACCTCTTAGATTATTAAGATATAAAGCAACAGCAATAAGCCATTCCTCTGGTTGTCACTTAGAAAGGGAGGATGGGAGGGGCAAATGAAGCCGATTTTCAGTTTTCAGACTTAACCCTTCGACCACGACCAGGGAATGGGGTGGGGTGGGGTGGGGGGGGAAGAAAGTCGTCGCCTGTCACATGAAAGGGCGTATCCCTGTTTTCTTCCTTTTTCAGGAGAGCGATTTAAAGATTTTCAGACTTTGGTTGCTTCATCCTTTTCCCTTGTCATTTTAGTAAACTGCATCCTACCATCGGGATATTTGGATATTGTGGGCATGATAAGATATCAAACAACGAGCAAGATTGATTTTGCACTGTTTTTTATAATTTCCCAGCGAAAATGTGCCATCTGTTGGCATACGCCCATGTATACACCCTGTGCTTGAGGGTCCACACCATTAATTTCAGCCTTCAGACTGACAAGTAGAGGATAAAATTCCTCCAAGACATCACTCCTCACCCCCCCCCCCCATTCCACCCGCTAAACCTTTCCCTTTCTCTTCTCCTCCCCATACCTCTCTGTCTGTCTGTCTATCTGGAAAGTCTCCTCTTGTAGAACAGCATTTTCATGTGAAATTAGCAAGTATATGACCTGCTGGGGATCAAAGTTCCCAGCCAGAATGCTGTGGTCAGCATGAACCATCTTCTTGCAATCCTCCCAAAGTTGTCCTCCCCTTTGCTTTTCTGCATCGTGCCTGTTATAAATTTCCCTGAGTTCATTTTTCTGTGCTTCTTCCCCTTTTCGGAAAGAGTTGCAGAGTGAGCATTAGTCCTTTTTAAGGACTATGAAAGGCCAGGTATTTTTGTGTTGAACACTCGTCTGAATGTGTGAAAACCTGGGATGTCATTGCATGGATTTTTTATCACGGACATGTTGTACATGTTGGAGAATGTGAGGACTGGGTTGAGATACTCTTTGCTGGAAGAGGCCCTACAGTAGTGCGATTCCACGCGTAGAAATCTGTCAACGTGTTGACTGGTCATCTACCTGATTTGTTCTCTTGCCTTCATATGCTCCGATTGCCCCCTCGCTTGTCTTCTTCCACAATGCCAGTCTCCGTAATCTTTCACAAAACAACTCGAGCACATTTCTCTGAAATACCCAAGGTTGCAAAGAATGTGTTCCTACACACTTTCAAGCGCTTTCCATTGACTGTGATGTAATAAGCATGCGTATTGCTGCGTCGAGAGTTTGGTTTCCCGACCTTGGGCTCTGTCGTCACAATATGCCATGCAACGAACTCTAGCTGCTTCTGCAGGTCAGCCAGTTTATAAACTGTCCTGAAATATCTCCCTCCTGTCCTTTCCTGAGATTCAAGAACACTGACGGCCAGCTCTCGTACATTCCATTCCAACGCAGCCCTTTCTCATCAATCGTGCTGGAACAACCTTTTTTGTGTCGGCGCTCATGTACTCTTCGCCACATTGTCGCTTTCTTTTTGCATCGTTCTTCGAGTTGATTCTCTTCGTTTCTTTGGCGACGCCTGGCGGGCTTACCCTTCAACTTCAAATGATTCTGGTAGCCGTTTGTTGCTACTGTGGGTTTCATCAGTCTCAAAATCATTGTGCGCTATGGATTCAGAGTTTGTTGATTGCCCTGTCTTTCCTTTTGACTACAAAATACTGGAACTTCTAGGAATTTCATCGATAGGAAATCCAATTGTCATTGTAGGACTAAATTTCAAAGTTTAGCTAACGGAATGTCATCTGACAAAGTCGGAGTTACTTTCATTGAAATGCGAACTTGCCATTCTGGGCCTAAAACACAAGAAAAATCCCGATAGTCTGAGTACAAGCTAAAGAACGATTTAGGTTTGAGTTTCTTATGTGTGTGTGTGTGTGTGTGTGTGTGTGTGTGTGTGTGAAATATAAAGATTTAGGGGCTACTTACATGGCTAACCTAGAAGACCTGTCTTCGGATCAATACAACAAAGTCTAAGTCCTGGTGTTTTGATCACTTCAGTCAGCAGCACTGCCCTGGGGGTGTGTGTGTGTGTGTGTGTGTGTGTGTGTGTGTGTGTGTGTCTAGATAGCGTTGCCTTCTTGTTAATGAGTGTAGAATAATACGCTAACGGAAAAACATATATATAGCTGAGCGATATTCATGTGTATTGTTGGACAAAAAGCAGATCTGATCTAAATTTGATCAAACCCAAGTTTGCTTTTTCTAATGGTTTCCAACAATAGTCAGCAGACAAGCAGATCACGTTGTGTGTGAAGTAAGCTGCAAGCAACACTAACCAATTGTAGGCTAACAAAACAATAAGGACCGCCTCATTTTCACTCTTGCACAAGCAGGATTCGCTGTAACATAAGGCGTGTGATCTGTGTTGTGTATCAGGCCTATTGCATCATTAGAGGAGGGCCTAGAATCTAGTATTGTTATGATATTACGTTATACAACCCTGGCCTTTGCCAGAAAAAAAGGACAAAAGTGTTCCTGTCGCTCACACGAAGGGGCGTATCCAAGGTATACGTCCTTTCATGCGAATAGAATTGATAAAACTGTACAGTCGAACCTGTGTAAGACGGCCACCCATTGTCAAGGAGAAAAGTGGCCGTATAAGACAGGCGGGTAAACAGTGACCACTCATCTCTCTTACGATTTGTGCACGAGTTCTGGGCGGGGCTTATGGGTTATGAGGGATCACACGCTTACCTTACCAGCAGCTGAAAAAATGTTACCTATTGGTCAACAGTGGGGGGGGCCTACGCAACATGATCAGTTGGGGTGTCTACCTAACAACAAACAGGTGATTGGATTATGACGGCTTGCCCACAACGCCAGGGACCAATGCACAATTTATGACAAAACGTAATGGAGTCACTAAGGTGGCCGTCTAAGACAGGTGTTATTACTTGGTGTGATAGGGGTTGTGTGTTAAAATAAGGCGGTCGCGGCCGCGTTGGACAGGTGCCCGTTTTACACAGTTAAATTATATCGAAAAAACGCAAGGGGGGAAATGGAAAGTGGCGGTTTGTACAGGTGACCGTCTTATAGAGGTGGCCGTCAGGGCAGGTTTGACTGTATCATTTTTTTGGCACACGAAAAGGCATAAGCCTGCGTACGCCGTTTCGTCTGGTTCGGTGGCGCTGAGTGTTAGCGTACGCCCTTTTTGATTTTTTACTGCAGGTGTTGCTATTTTAAAGCTAGGGATACGCCGTTTCGTGTGAACATAGATCTGAGGCAGCGCTATCTACTAGTAGTAACGACTCAAAACTGCCAAATCTGGAATACGCCCTTTCGTGTGACAGGCGACGAAGTGTATGGGTTTCATACCTCTATCAACACTATTAGGTTGTTTAAGAGGCATGACTTCGTAATCTAACGGTTTCAGCACCATCTCCAGTGGGTATCATTCAATGACAATGTCCGTCTTGCATTGCTGGCCTCGGTGGTGGTGGGCGCCCACAGAGGGCACTGACATAAACAGTTGGTCCGCCAGACCAAGCGTACTTATCCAAACTTCGTCTTTGCATGCCCCAGTTAGATTTCAGGGCTGCTGATTCTTCAACCTGTACAACTCATTTTTAACAAATGTAGATCTATGTGACTGTTTTTACACTTCATAGGACCCCTTGCCTTCAAGCTTAAGGCAGTCACATTTCGATTTCAAAAGAGTTATATGTCCGTCTTGCATTGCTGGCCTCGGTGGTGGTGGGCGCCCACAGAGGGCACTGACATAAACAGTTGGTCCGCCAGACCAAGCGTACTTATCCAAACTTTGTCTTTGCATGCCCCAGTTAGATTTCAGGGCTGCTGATTCTTCAACCTGTACAACTGATTTTTAACAAATGTTTTTACACTTCATAGGACCCCCTGCCTTCAAGTATAAGGCAGTCACATTTCGATTTCAAAAGTGTTATCTATTTAAAAAAAATTAGAGCAGAGTGGAAGCAGGGGATGGGATTGGGCAGTGGTGACAAAATGGAAAGAAAAAGATGAAAGTGAAGGAGAACATTTTAGAGAAGACAATTTTTTTTCGCCCATGGCAGGCTTTGATCAAAGGAACTTTGGACTGAGAGGCGAACATTGTACCTCTAGACCAAGAACCTGCAAACTCCAACCATTAATGATGATCTATTCATGGAGGTAGAAGCATTCTCAGCATTGCACAATGCAAATCTTAAGGTTTATGATAGTTTTGAAGCCAGTGCTGCGTAACATCCTGGAATACAAGAAGAAAAAACCCCACCCGATTAATATGTAGCCTATTACCAAAAAAAAAAAAAAAACTACAGAGAGAGAGAGAGAGAGAGAGAGAGCGAGACAGAGAGCGAGAGAGAGAGAGAGAGAGAGAGAGAGAGAGAGAGAGAGAGAGTGGCGTCGGTAGCCTAGTGGTTAGGCTACCGGACTCGTAATCATGAGATTGCGAGTTCGGGGGTTCGAGCTTCAGCTCGGTCCGACGTTGTGTCCTTGGGAAAGGCACTTTACACGGACTTCCCACTTGGCTCGGTCCTATCGGAGACGGACGTTAAACTAGGAGGTCCCTCCCTTTAAATAACCTAATAGTGTTGATAGGGGCGTTAAACCTATACCATTTCACCATTTTCACCAGAGAGATAGAGATAGAGAGAGAGATAGAGAGAGAGATAGATAGAGAGAGAGAGAGAGAGAGAGAGAGAGAGAGAGAGAGAGAGGGGGGGGGGCATACACTGGGATGCATACACATACTAACAGACGAGACAAAGAGGAGATAAAAACAGCGAGAATTGGGTGAACACGTGGCAGATGGGGTTGGGGGAGAAGGTGCGGGGTGGGAGTAAGTGACCGGAATAGAATCCGAGCGACCGAACCTGATCGACTGAGATCGCGGCACGAGAAATTGGCCAGGTCCGATAAAGGCAAAAATCAATGGTCGCTGTGTGGTGTGCTGTTGTGGCGCAAGCTACGAGGGGCACCAACCACAGCGTGAGCGTTCCTTTTCTTAGGACAGGAGACTGGAGGCACGCACAAGGCCGGGCAGGGAATGTGTTCCTTGCGTGTGAACACCGGTAGGCCTAGATCTACGCCTTTACCCCTTATGACGATTCCATCTACCCCCCCTCCCCACTCTCCAGATTTTAAATATTTCTTCGAAGGGCTGCAATTCACGCAAACCTATATTTCACTAGTAACGGATCTGGATAAAAGAAATATTAAAAATAAGAGAAAAAAATCAAGGATGATCATCATCACCAGCAGGGATAGCAACAACACACACGGAATAAATACCGATTGGAATCAGGGTGCCACCGGAAAGTCCCACCTCGTATTGATATGCCCCCCTCTGTCTGCTGTGCTATTTTCCTTTCGCTTAACAGGGATGCCGCGTCGTCAGTTCGTTTGCATTTTTATTTTTTCAGGGTGACCTTTTTGGCTGTCGCTTTTGTTTACCCTGTTTAGAGACACAGTCAGTGAGTAGATTCTAGGTTCTAGACCTACTGAATGCCGAATGCGGTGAGATGATTCGAACAAAAGTCTCAACAGATCACAGAGAATCTTGGTCCAAAGAATCACATTGATCTAGGGTTATGTACATCCTATCAGTTAAACCAGAAATTCGCAGGGGTTCTTAGGTCTGTTTTGTATATATATATTTTTAAAGTAAGTGTTTTACGGCGCTCGCAACTGCATAAGGTCATATGATCGCGCGGGACACATTAAACTTTTTCAGCTGGTAGGAAATTTTGAATTTTGTCCAGGTGGCAGCCGAAGCCTACTCTTATCGATTTTAGACCACCAAGGGATCTTTAACGTGCGCAACTTGCACACGGGCCCTCCGAGATTTTCGCCCTTGTCCGAGAAGGCTACGTGGGTGGTTGACGGGTGCTCTGGTGCGGTTTGCTCCTTCTTTCCTATCAAACATCTATCGTCTTTATCTCCCCTTCTTCTTTTTTATGTTTGTTACTCCCTTGTAACACCTCTAATCTTCTGGCACTCATATGACCTTATGCAGTTGCGAGCGCCGTAAAACCTCTACTAAAACAAACAAACAAAATCGAAGGCTAGGTGTAGATCTTTCCTATCAGAAGATCAGGGGTGTGGCTGACAGACAGCAGTAAGGGACTAAGGAAGGAGTAGCAGTAGAAAAGTTGCAGAAAGAGTCAGGCAGGAGCCCAGAGGATGGGGCAGGGGCAGAAAGAGGATTAATCAAAACATCAGGTATGCTGATGACACAGTTCTAATAGCAGGCCCAGAAAAGGACCTTCGATTGCTTCTAGATACTGTTGTAGCAGAAAGTGAACGTAAACGATTAGTGTTGAATGTAAAGAAAATAAAATGCATGGTACTATAAAAAAAAGCAGCAAATCCTAGTTGTAATCTCATTAGCAAAGGTGAAAAGATCAAACAAGTCCAACAGTTTAATTTAAATATCTAGGATATACGATAACATCTGATGCCAAATGTTCCACATAAATAATACGGAGAATTAGAAAGGCTAATAAAACGAGCCCAATCCTGAAAAATAGAAACATCACAATGACCACCAAAATGTTTAGTTTTAGTAAGAGTTTTAGGGCACTTGCAAAACAAAAGATCATATAAGTGCCGAAGATTAGAGGTGTTACAAGAGAGAAACAAACACAAAAAAAGAAGGAGGAGAGATAAGGACGATAGATGTTTGATGGGAAAGAAGAAGCAAACCACACCAGAGCACCCGCCAACCACCCGCTGACCACCAAAACGAAAATTCTGAAATGCTATGTATGGTCAACCCTTTTATATGGCTGTGAATGCTGGACAATCACTAAAGACAGTGAAAATAAAATAGAAGCAATAGAAATGTGGTCTCTTAGGAGACTGTTAAGAGTATCGTGGAAGGAAACGAAATCAAATGAGGCAGTTCTTGATGAAACCCACGTGTTAAAAACAATCAGGAAACGACAAGTGCAGTTTTGGGGACACCTGAATAGATATAAGGGTCTTGAACATCTAGCTCTCACTGGCAAAATTGAAGACAAAGGAGGCAGGGGTAGGCCCAGAACAAGCTACTTGGGGAACCTAAACAAATGGGTAACAGGGAAAGATTAGGGAAACGTAGCTTTTTTTTTTTTTAGAGCATCCAATCAAATGAATGAATGGAGAACCACGATCGCCGATGTCAGTCGCAGATCTGGCACTGGATGATGACGAGACCGTGCAATGTTGTGACCGCTGCTCTTTGCCCTCGGTAAAAACTTCGCTGCAAAGTACGTTCACCATTTTCTCCTTAACGGCTTCTTTGGTTTTATCATTCTTCCACCATGTTTTTCTACCTTTATTTCTATCTAGTCGCTCGATTTCACAACTATTTTTCAGTATTTTCTAAATTTTTATCTCAGGAGACAGGTAATTTACTCTTTAGTGATACCATCTTTGATTGTCTTTTTGAAGTCTGGTGGATGTTGTTGCTGTTATGTTATTGTGTTAATGCTGAAACTGAAGTTGAATACACCATCGAATACGGCACCATTCTTCATTTCGATGGATTGCCCCCTCCCTCCCCCCCACACACACACCAATTGCCCCATGTACTCTGACAAACCTTTACCGGGGCCAAAGAAAATTTGTTAAGTTTTAGTAAGAGTTTTACGGCGTTCGTAACTATATACGATCATATGAGTGCACGAAACACAAGTTGGTTGCATTCATGACAGTACACAGCACTGCTTGGTTTTGGTCAATGATCAGCTTAAAATTTCAAATCGTTAATATAACAGCAATTTTCATTTGATTAAAATAATAATATTTACGTTTTATTGCAAACGCCTATCGAGGATTCTGTTGGGATCATGATGGAGAACATATCTTTCAAATTTTTTCATGATTTAAAATATTTCCATCGGGTCTCTCAAAAGTCCAGACATTCCGTTAACACGTGTCTCATAATGTGGTGAAATCTATCTGTGACACAGAACGGTTTCTCATTTCCCTGTAGGGGAAATTTATGTGTCCGATACGTAATCGAGTAAAAATGACTTCATCTCTTCTGGAAAAAATGTTAAGGACTAATTAACAAAGGAGATAAGAATAATATAAAATGTTAAGAGAAAATAAATTATGACAGAAATAAAAATACATATACAAAATACAAATTTGAACACCCATTCAGGTCCGACCCATGAACTTTCGCATGGCCAGCTGACCAACTGATCAAGTTTGACACAGCGCCAAATAAGGAGACGAAACCCTCGGAAATAGAGAAAGACGCAGGCACATGTGCGCGCTGCGTGCACACACACACACTCCGAAGTACATGTACTTGTTTTCTCGGTGCACTGCACACAGAGCGTGCCTTTGTCTCAGCCACTAGCAGAGTCACCACAAGAAACCCAGAGCTCTTCCGGCCGCCCGTAAAGATCGATGGTCACCCAATATTTACATGGAACCACGTAGCCTGGGTTAGAGCGAATTCCCCAAGTCTTCCAAAACTCCTCACAGCATTCTGCTCTATAATTATACCCTCTTCTCAACCAATTC